CCGGACTGTAGCGGGTAGAGCTTTCCTCCTAGGAAGGCCCAGGCTCGAGTAAATTTAGCCCAAGGGGACTATGCTCAGGTCACGTGTAGAATGCCTGATCTTTCCTCGGGATGCTTACGGAGTAGTTCTAGCTAGATAGTTATAACTATACTGTATAATATACATGGTGACCTCGGGAGCTGTATCCACCCCGGGGCCGGCTACGGAAGTATACCTAAAACGAATAGCCCTAGTTATAGAGTCGTTTATACTTAATACTTAGTCCGCTAACACCATTACTTTATCACATTCTAGAGTTCCCAATGTTACCAGGTCTTCTCAAGGTGCATTTAATTCGGAATTTTCACGTATAGGGAGAGGGGAACGGAAGAAAGAGACGGGTATAAATTCCCGAGGTGCCCAAGGTGGACACCTATATTGACTAAGTAATCCCCCTTATAACGCCTGTGGACGACTAACTCGCCTTTTAGGTAACTACCTAGCTCATCTTAAGTCGAAAGATATCAGGCCACAATTTGTTCTCGCCGAGAATCTCCTCTACCCAGTGTCAGTGCCCAAGTGGGCGCACCGGATTACAAATTGTAAAATATTAGGTAACTTTTGTACAGCAACTAGATATAAAAGTTACTTAAACAGTAATTAGGGATAGTATAAAAAGATATATATAGTGTAAATGAAGTCTTAATTACTTCCAAGATTATTAGCAACCTTGGTCCGAAGTATCAAGTCTCCAGCGCTTGAAGCGAGAATGGTTAAACTTTTACCCGCAATATCTTTATGTGAAGTTATAAGGTGCTCTTTATACTTCTGCGCCATATATTTGGAACTACTATTAGTAGATCAATTGAACCAGTCCGTTATTATGTCCAAGCGATCATATAATGCTTTGAAAAATGTCTTCCAATGAAAATTCGGACTAGTTTGATCTTCCTTCACAACAAAGTATGCCTTAAAAGTCTGGCCGTATGAGTGACCATTCCCGAATCCACGGAGCAAAGACCTTGAACCAAGTCCGTGATAGAGGTTATATTGCACGCCATCTGCCTGATTCACCACCTACAAATCAGGTAGTCGTATCCGGGGCGAGAGAGCCTTGGCCAAGGTGCCTGCTTTCTCCACCATTGGTGATTGAACGATCAAAGGAAGGGAATATTGAATTCCTATGCCGGTGTTAAACTTTATTTTCTTATAGTCAGTCAAGAAACCATCGAATTCCAGATTAGGGTTGGCAAAGAACTCAAGGTATTCACGATCGAAGTTAATCAGCTGTTGTGCGATTGGTCTTCTTTCCTGTTCGTGGGTCGTCGGGAGATATGTTAGACAGTGCTGCTCGAGATGAAAATGAAGCTTCCATCCAATGTTATAAGCTATTCTACTTAGTAGTCTTAGTCTTAATTAATTCAAAAAGACGTACCGTCTTGGGTGTTAGTATTTATCACCTCTTCTCGGGGATGATGAATTACGAGAAGCGCATATTCAGGTGTTATTATAGAGATATCATAGTCGCTGAGATGATGAATTGATAATGAGGTGGCCTAATCAACAAGGGATACAATGTAGCAGCAGATGTCTGCACAGTCTACGAACGTCATTAATAACGACGGTGTACATGCGTTATCTTATTCCAATTACCTGGATATTAAATGCTGTAATGAAGAAAGGAAACATCCAAGTAATTTCAACGATACATCTCTTAAGCACCCAAGATCTTCATTCTCTTCAAAGGCCAAATTCCCATTGCAAAACCCCAAAGCTCTCTCGATTCCTCTACACCTTCCACATCTCGCACAGTCCATTTCAAAGTGCCCTTCCTCTTGGTAATGACTACCAAATACGCATTTGATCCTGCTCTATACTCCAGCTAAGGGGTTCCCTTACTCAACATCCTCTTTGATCTTCGACTTGTCCAACCGTCGGAATAGAATCCACAGCAGAACGGTTGATCCACCTAGAAGCCCGGTCAGGATAGCATACATCGTGACGAGATGTGGGTCCTTGGTGAGCGGGGTGAATGCCAGGGCAAGACATGTTCCAATCCCAGCCATGGCGAGCCAGATTGCTTGGACCAGCGTCTTCATGCTCTTAGGCGCATTGTTATAGGCATACTCGGTTCCAGTGGTAAGGCAAAACACCTCCGCTAATGCTCCACCGAAGTACGTCGGAACTTGAAGAAAGACCGAAATCTGGTTGGGGACAGTGCGATCATTGGCGGCAGCACATGCGAGTGGTGTATCGTAGCATGGTCCAGCCTGGTAGATAAGATTCTGTACCACTGTGGTGTAGACCATGGAAAGAGTCAAGAAGAAAAATCCGACTGTCATCCGTGCAATCGGTCCAAATGAGGCTCGTTTCTTTGTAAGGTAAGGATAGAGTCCCTTCTGGATGATAGGCGCGACGATGATTCCCGAGATGGCCCCGGCTATCTTCATCATATCGTTCGGGATGCCGTACGTGACCATCTGCCCAGCTTGGGAGATCAAGTTGTTGAATGTCTGGTTATAGCAGAGCCAGTGAATAGGGAATAGAATCCTATATAGCTGTTAGCTTGGCTGTATACTAGAAATGGTATAAGCTTACAATACTCGGCAAGTCAGAAGACTTCTCTCGATTTCTTCAATGAACGAGTCTGTCCAGGGGACCTGGCGACCATGTTGATGAAGCTGGGCGTCTGGCTTTGCGGCATTCATTTTGAAGCCACCGGTTATCCCACATTTCAATGCAGTGCATACCTGGAGCATAATGTTGCTTGTTGGCAAATCCCGGACTGTTGCATCCACATATTAGTTAATTGATCTATCGCCATGATAGTAGACACACTCACCAAAGTACTTGCGGCCGAATAACATCGGGATCAGGGCTAACCACATGGCGCAGCACGGGATCAAGTAAGCAAGCCAAAAGCCAACATACCGTTCCAGCAAGGGCGTGGCATCGGCCACGAAGCCTACAACGTTAATAGCCCTGTTTTCAAGGTTAGCTACGATGGCAAATGAAAGGGATCAATTCACTCACCAGTAAAAGACGTTATAGATATAGGTAATGGTCAACTCCCGGCTAGTGACAACCTTCTCTCCCCTTTGCTGAATCTTGATTCGAAACTCAGCCTCGTCATATTGGTCGGCTAAACAATATCAGCATCTGGATCGGTACATATCCGTACATCCGGGTCTAAGAAGTTAACTCACCAATAAACGGTACCACAGTAGTTTTGAATGCCCCAGATCCAACAGCCAGCAGTATACAGGCAGTTATCACTCCGGGCAAAGCCGCACCCGCACGAATGGCAACGGGCAAGGACGTCGCAAAAAGAACAGTTGCCCCGATGGCCTCAATGCTATTATAATGTTAATCATCAAACAAGTCGAATGGGCAGGTCAAGATAAAGAAATAAAATGTCACAGTACATAGCAGCGTATATCATGGTTGTGTAGCGGCCCATCCAACTATCAGCAATAACAGCAGCAGGCACGGGAACGATATACGACCCGATGATCAGTGCGTTGACGATGTTCGATGCCGTGGCCTGGTGCAACCCCAGTGCTCCGGGCACCTCGCCGCCGGGTGTATTTTGCAGGTAATTCTCTGTGGAAACGGTGAGTCAAACAAGGTTATAGTTAAATAGGGAGGTATCACGCACGGAGAGGAGCGGTAGCTCCGTACCAGACAAAGCGTTCCAAAATACCCGCAAGGCATGCTATCCAGAGCCGAGCGGGAATTTTGTCAACGACATGAAGGAGATCTCGGACTTCGTCTTCGGTGGCCACACGACCGTCATCGTCGTCCGAGGGGGTGGATAAACTGCGAGTGGCATGGATAGCCGCATGGTCTTGGAGCTCAGAAGAAGAATGTGGGTCTTGTTCTGTTTTCGAAAAAGAACGAGAGGCACAGGCATCAGTATTATCCCTCGCATTACGAGTTTCGAGAGCTATCACCAACCGTGACTCTAGGTTAGGCTCCGCGGTGATATCCGCAGAGCCGTGCACATCAGACATAGGGCCGGACATTTTCGAATGTAGATTGTTTATTAGCAAGGGCAAGCTCGATTTGGTCAAGGAATTTTTCACGGGGAATTTGTAGAGACAAGAAGGAAGAAGGGCTTTGGGGAAGAGAAAAGACGGTCTGAAATCAGGGCAAACCGGGGAAGTCGGGGACCGTCGGGGGGCCGTTGGGCCTTCTTAACTACACTATTTTAAACGAAATTTGATTGCACCGGGGCTGGGATTTACATTATAGATTGCATATATACTAGTATGTAGTAGTGTACATATTTCAATGGTTATACATACAAAAGTCTTAACCACAAAGTATGCTTTTGTTTCCGCCGTTTTCTGCTGTCTACCTGGGGAGAAAATATCTTAAAAGAGATCTATGTTGTAAACAGAATATCTGAGACCACCTAAAACGACATCACAAGGCCACATACGCGGCCCTTTACTCTTGTGTACCTAGCTCAAATGTTTGACGTGTATCCAACCCCGTAATAGCTAGGTGGCAAAGCACTTCTGCTATCAATCTCTTCATCCACGCCACCGAACATTTCATAACATTTCATGACGTACCTATCATGCTATATATCAGCTGCCTTTTTTTTATATCGTGGCGCTGCGAATAACCGCAAGACACGGTCCGTAGTGATTGAAAAGAAAGAAAGCTAGTAGGCTGCACCGGATATATATCAACTACACACAAAAGGTATATAAACACAACATGGTATAACATCGATTTTTCTCAAATTTAAACTAGCTTAGGGGAAAATATAGAAGACAAGTAGGAATATGGGATAAAGCAACTGTCCGATCTTGATATCGCACCCTTAACTAGCCTACTCTTATAGACATGGACCACAATGAAGCTTCGTAGATACAGTATGCTATGGCCACCGAGCAAAAAACAAGCACGTCTCCGTGGCGCAATTGGTTAGCGCGTCCGACTGTTAATCGGGAGGTTGGAAGTTCAAGCCTTCCCGGGGACGTTTCTTTTTTTATGGAGCATATTCTATAATGCCAAGCTATCGACAAGCGCCGCGTAAAGAGGATAGATAGCCTATATCCTAGATAAGTTCGAAGGCAACGAAGCCGACCTACTCGCCGATGAGGCGCTTCAGAGGCCTGGTGAGAGAGGCCTTGACGTTAAATACAACCACCTATTAAGGAAGATATCTAGACGAAGTTGAGTAGGTGGCCATTTTTATTGACAAATTTGCAGCTCGTGTATATATCATTTCATGAATATCTAACAGATTTCACAAAGAAACGATCTAGTGCTTTGGGTCAATATCTTGTCGCACCGTTCCTGGCGACTACCTCTCATGGTGTTGTCTTTGGTGGCCCTTTGAGTAGATAAATCCTTTTTTATAGATAGCTCCGGTCAACCCAGAACAGCCTGGATCTGAGAGGACAGAGCCAGTACTGACGGGCGCCCTGGTGCGATATAATAGCGATGGCACCTTCGTCTATGTCGGTCGACAGGATACACAGATCAAGATCCGCGGCCAGCGACTAGAGCTTGCGGAGGCAAATCACCGCCAGATGGAGATCCCGGAGGTCAAGCCATGCCGGTAGTACCCCAGAAGATTGGACCGTGTCACGGACGATGCCTTGTTGGAAAAAATGGGCCCGGGCCAATGCGCATGATTGATCCATCTCTCCGCCCTACGGTCTCTACTCAACTTGCCGATATTCGTGATCGTCCTACACAGACACTAGCTATACGGATGATTCCGATATTGTGGGTTATCGTGGAAGATCTACCCACTAACGCGAGCGGCAAGTTGGACTCTAGCACCATACGGACATTTGTGGACAATCTAGATGAGAAAAATTCCCAGCAAGAATCGGACCTTCTTGTGGACGGCCATTCCCAGGAGCCTCGGACTCCAATGGAAGTCTTGTTGCAAAGAGTCTGGAGCCCAGTCCCCAGGCTTCCTGTCGATCAGATCAGTGCTACAACCTCCTTTTTACGTCTTGGGGGAGACTCAATCACGGCCATATAGGTCATGTCTAAGTTTCTGTTTAAAATCGTGTTTCTGTCAGTATACGATATCATAGGCATCGGAGATGGCGCCATTTGACGACACGGAATATGAGCAGGTATTGAGCAAGGTTCAATCCGCATAGAAAACATCCGTCGCTGAGAGTGATGGAAGGGATACATACGCCTTTCATTTCTCACTAGGGAAGTCTTATAGCGGCGGCCCATTTTATTGCAGCTTATCAGGATCTCGATGTTGAACTAATCATGAAGGCCCTAGAGGCCGCAACCATGCGGGCCTAAATTGTTCTGTGCGCAAACAGATGATGCGATTTTGTGTCTTATACGGAAGCGTTAGACTAGCAAAGAATATATCCACCTTAGCTGGTTCAGAATTATGAAATTCTATAAATGCTGCTCGAATTATCGGCCCCAGGGTTGATGGTTTGCCGCTTCAAGTTTAGACGGGAGACGCCTTATGACCGTGTCCTATATTGAGAGGATTTGGCTTTTTATGTCAGACATCAGGTTTTAGCATTCTCCGAAGTATGCGGCCTTAATTATCGTTCATAAATCCATTCACATTGCTGATGATATGGTTGGCCAGTCCCCGCTAATATCCCAGGCAGCATCCCAGGCAGCATCGCGGGCAATCTCGCTTTAGCCTCATCGGGTTCCGAATTCGACCTGTAAGCTGTATATCGTACTTATTTATATAGAGGAATCCCTCTTTGATTTCTATTCTCACAAAAATTCTACATTCTTATTCAAAATGACAGAGCCGAACCTCTCTCCTGCTTGTTTTACAAATTACAACCAGCAGACACAAAGCAACCTATTCTGGCTCATTCCTCCAGAGATTCGCTATGAGATCTTTGCCTACACTTTAACAAGTGCTCCAGACACCACACAGCTACCTGAGCAAGATGGATACTGCACCCGACCAGGGTATGAGACCCGCCATCGGACCTACACAGAACTGCTCCGAACCTGCAAAAGACTATACATGGAGGCATGGTTTATGCCCTTCCTCCGTTCGGAGCATGCATTTTGGATGGCCTCTTGGGACCGCACTCCTGAACGAATGATTACAGTGAAGAAGATGCAGCAAGGTCTAAATCTGATTCATGATCGACATGGAGAAGTGCAGGGTGGCCGTATTCGAGTGTTTCCTCAGCTATACAGGCTCGAGAGCACCACAGACTTCGATGGAATATTCACGATGCGTCATTTTTATCCCCAGTCTGTCACAATCACTATCCGCTACACCGACACCTGGTTTTGGGAACACAACGAGGAGTTACACATCGAAGGAGCCTGGGGTAAACAACTGGTGCTGCCCTCTAGCGTCACCAGGTTCTGTATCGATATTGAAAGCATCGAGCGACGTAAAGACGAAGTGGACTACATTGCAGGAGAAATGGCTGACCAATGGCGATTCCAACGAGCCGACAATACCAATATGCTCGCAGCCAAGGCTGATACCACGGTGTCCAGATGGACGGGAAGTTCCATGCTTGGGAAACGGCGTTGGCTGCGTGATGAGACGGCGCCTGGTCAGCTTCGGTACTATTTTGCGACTGTGACGTGGCGGCCTTCGCAAGAGCCCTTGGATGCTCGGCGTTTGAATCCCCCTCTCCGGGTCAATTGGAGCCGCCCATCACTCCCGGATCTTGGTTTTGACTCTATCAAGGAATCATATTTGGAAAGGAGCGGATTATCTATGACAACTCCTATGGGGCAAGTGCTTGCTAGATGCATCGCTGATGGGTATGGCCCTCGTACTGACCAGTATGCGTCCGAGGATGACCCTGAGGATGACCCTGAGGATGACTCCGACGAGGACTCCGACGAGGACTCCGAATAGAAGTTTTCTCAGGTATAATTTATTATATATCTCAATGGAAATATAATTTTCAATCATAAAAAGAATAGAGTGCCATAACAAAACAAAGGAACACGTGACCCACGCGTTGCCATCGAACCCGATTCGGTCTGTTTTGATTCTCGACATCTCCATTCCCCGACTCACCGTGACCCACAACCCACAATCTCCATGATTGTTCATTTACAATCACTCTCCATACGTTAATTCCTGGTTTTTATTTCTCCCGCTTTTTGCCAACGGCGCATTGTTTAGATCATGGCGGCAAGCGCAAGGGCGCAGAAGCCCGTCGGCTCAGCGCCATGGATTGCAGCAGAGAAGGAAAACATGGCCGAACTAGTGGAACAAGAGATGGAAGAAGTGGAATACCCTGTCCGACACGAAATGGACTGGTTAAATGAACATATGACCGAAATCTTCTCCAAGGGCCAGGCGTGAGTTGCGACCGCACACTATGATCTGTGCTTCAGTGCTAACAATAACACAGGAACTTCGCGGACGTGTTCAAGACGCCCGGAAAGATGAGAGGCAAAACGCCTCGAACGGCTCGAAAGCGTATTCCCGAAGAGTCTCGAGTGGTGAGTTTCTCTATATCGAATTGGTTTCAACAGTCCTTGTCTAATGTCCCTGCAGCCCTTGAGCGAAATCTTCTCATCCGCCCAGAAACAATTGGAAAATCAAGCAAGCCCGAGCCCATTCATTCATCGTGTTGTTTCCAAGCCCGCCCCCATGGTGGCATCGCCTGTGCCCCGCACCAAGACTGTGACGGAGCAAGCTTCGCAACCTGAATACCCTGATCTCACCCAAAATCTGAACTCATTCCCCACATACAACACTGACTCTGGTTATCATGGCATGCCCGATGATGATGAGATGGTACTCCCTGACGTGCAACAAGAATCACAGGCTTCGACTCAGCCTTCTACCCAGCTTTCTACCCAGCCTTTCGAACAAGACGAGCCCATGCATATGGATACCCAAGAGGTCGACATTTCGGTTAGTCAACAGACGAATGAAGAATCCTTCCACTCCGCACGGGAAGAGGTTCGCTCCCGCGGAGAGACCGTCGAGCCGAGCAAGAACCCAACCCCAACCCAGGAGCGAACAGCGCTTCCGGCCGCACCAGTTCCCCAAGAATGTGAGACTGAAATCATGTCGACTCCGACTAAGAAAACAAAATCGAAGTCAAATGTCAAAACCTCGGAAACGCAACATAGTGAGGACCCTGAACCAAAGGAGAGTGATCCAGTTGTCTCGAAACCTGAGCCAACCTCAGAAAAGGCCGCAGTGGTCCCCGTGGCCCCTGTATCCCAGGCAGCTCCATCTATCGAGACGCAAGAGCCTCATCCGGAGGACGAGGATATGGAAGATGCCACCGAAGATGCTATGAAAGACGACACAGTCCTCGACAATCTTGATGATATCGGCTCTCCTTCGGATGGATCTACTCCAGATCGACCATTCGCTCGGAAAAGCAGCCTGAGCTTTGCCACCCTCCCTGCGCGGGAACCTTTGAAGACCCGAACAAGCCATATTGACCTGGCGAAAATGAGTACTGCCGGGCGTCCCAGTTACTTTGGCAGACAAACTGGTGGCCATAAGATTCCGCAAACTGCGGCAGAGGATAATGCAGGTTTCAGGGCGCTGGAAATTGACAACGAGAAAGAACCAAGTGAAGAAGCGGATCCTGAGCAGGCTACGAGAATGCACAGCAAAAAATCTACTCAGTCCTTGCATGATAGAATCAGCATGCTAGGCAAACTCCAGCCATCCCGACCTAGAAAGTCAATCCCATCTGCTTCTGGGCTACCAGCTGGTCAGGTTCCCTACCCAGATCTCGCAGCTTCCAAGGCCGAACCCAAGTCCGAAGCTTCGAACGAAGGGGTGCATGAGGCTCCAGAGCCTATTTCGGTAGACGAAGACTGGATCAAGCCTCTGAGCTCTCCCCCAAAAACCAGAGCTTTACAAGAGCAAGACCACAGATGTCATGGAGAAGCTTGCTGAATTCGAAAAGGCGCGAGCAGTCAACAAAAAGGATACGTTGAAAACAGAGCCTGAACGCCCCAAATCATCTACCTCGATGTTCTCTTCACCCCGACCCCACGGTCACCAGCAAAGCGCGTCTTTGACTCACATTGCTGCTGATGCGTCTACTACTCCAACAGGCTCGCCAAGGCGCTTCGACGGTCACATCAGTGCTTCGAAGCTGAAACTGCACTCGATTATGAAATCTGCCAAGGGCTTATTCTCAAGCACTGGCAACACACCACGGATTGAGAACTCATCGCCTGAGCAGGCCCGCATTCAGCCAATCGCTGACACATCCACTAAAAATGCCAAACATCTATCGCAGCCGGTCCCTATCACCAGTCCTCAGCGTCCGGAAGGCCGCCGGACACGAAGCTCAACCGAGAAAGAAGAGAAACGGCGCCAGCACGAACGGAAAGAGCAGGAGCGGGAGGACGAAGAAGAAGAAGCGCGCGTCGAGAGAGCTCGGGAACAAGAAAAACAAAGGGCTCTCCAGCTCAAAGCCGCTCAGGACAATTCGTCAGTCGAGCCAGAAGAGAGGGCCGGCTCAGCAGTGAACAAGACCTCCCAGTCACAGCGCCAACAATCGCGCGAACCTGAATCAGCTCAGGAGTCTAGCTCAAGATTTGCCATCCCTCAACCGAAGCAAAATGATCGCCGTCCTCTCAAGCCCACTCGCGAGCCCATGAAACGCCCAACGCCGCAACCCATGTCAATTCGTGTTGGAAGTACCATGTCCCGTCAACAAATCCCTGTCCCATCGTCTTCGAGTGCACGGGAGTCGAGTGTGTCCGTGACCGCCTCTGCCCCTGCCCCTACCACGAAACCAACTCTGAAAAAGAAGGGTAGCAATACATCCTTACATACATCATCTTCCGCAAGCAGCTTTAAGAGCTCTGTTTCCAGTCTAACGCAAGCCCAGCGTAAGGCTCAGGTTGCCAGCGACCGCAAGAAGGAGCAAGAACGCGAGGCACGTCGGAAGGAAGAACAAAAGCGTGATCTAGAACGCAAACGTGCTGTCCAACAGCAACAGCAGGAAGAGGCCCGTCGTCAGGAGATGAGGAGTCGAGCCGAAACTGAACGGGAGAGACAGGCTGAAAGAGAACGTCAGGCCGAACGGGAGCGCCGCGAACGATCGGCTCAGGAAGATCCAAACAAAGCAGCCCGTATGGAGGCGATCAAGAAGCGACAAGCAGAGAATGCTCGGAAACATGGGAGGCAAGGCAGCCAGCAGATAGTCAACGAGGTAAGCGCGTTCGAATCGGGGAGGTTTCATACCGCTAACAGTTTCCAGGGACCAATTCTACAGCACGAGCAGACGTATTCTCAGTCTTCTCAGCGAAGTGACTTGGGTGCTTCCCGCCCTGCTTCCCGCTTGGGTAGCTCAATTCAGCCATTTGGTGGCCGCAGCATCAACCCACCCGCACCAAACCCTGCCAAACCGCCAAAGAGAGGCAACGAGGAAACCAGCCACCGACCCGCGCCGGCTAACCCCAGTAATGTGCAATCAAGTGGCGAGTTCAAGCGGCGAAAGACAGAGGATGAGCACAACCCCATGCCACCTGTGCGCACAATGGCGCAGCCTATTCGTCAATCGAACATTAGAAAGGTTAGTAACACTGGATCCCACGTAATATCCTGACGAACAAATCATTGACTTCGGGAATGTATAAAGCCTTCTACCCTTGGCCGTGGACAGTCTTCCATGGCACCACAGTCTGCCTCTTCCAGCTACAGAAATGCTCAACCTCAGCGACCCGCTCACCCGATAATCACGTACACGAACGGCAAGATACCGTTTGCCGAACCAAACCAAGCGCCTCCACCCAGCGCACACAAGGCTGCTCCCAGCTCCGCCCAGCGCCCACCAGCCAAACCATCTCCCAAGTACCCCAATGGTGAGAATATTCACTTGCCGGAAATCAACACTGATAGTGAAGATGACGACGACTCCGACTCCGAGATGTTCCCTGTTCCCCCTTGGGCACAGGCGAAGGAGCTAGAGGGTCTTCTACGCAAACAGGATGGCATGGAAGTTGACTCGATCTTCGGACCAATCGCACCATTCTCCCTTGAAGACACCTTCAAGGCGGACAAGAAAATCAAGAAATACCGTGACCGCACCAGTAGTGCGAACTGGTCTGGACCCGATGGACTTACCCAAGAGGAGATTCGGAAGGATGTTGCCGAGCGACAGCGGTTGCGTCTCAATGGTGGTTGGAGCTTCAACACCTAGTGCTCGGGAGGATGAATTTTTTTCTTTCTTGGATTGTAAATTGGTCTGTGCATTGAATAGCGGTGGCCTTTTCTTTTGGGGTATGGATTTGGTGGGCATGGTTATGTCGGTGTTATGGGTGTATAATCTACCTCATGGCGTTATTTTGTATGATTCTTGTGGTCACTTTTGTTTGTGGTCTTAAACAACAGCTGCATAGTTGCATCCATCGGTGCATTGGGTTAATGAATTGTTATTTTAGCCTACATTGGATGTTCTATGGCGTTATGTTTCTAGAGTTCACAAGGGATAGGGCTTTCAGAATTAGGGCTAGAATTAGTTTAGTGTTATATGGCACATTGGTGTAACATCTTACATGAACTAGCATCATTGGTCTAGTGGTAGAATTCGTCGTTGCCATCGACGAGGCCCGTGTTCGATTCACGGATGATGCACATCTTTTTTTAGTCTTTATTTTTTTAGTCTTAGTTAATTCCATCTTTTGGGCTTGTATAGTTTCTAAATTGGAACCTACATCTTTTTGGCTTCTTCTCATTGGGAAATTTGTTCGATATTAACGGTCATATGGTTGGTTTCTTTGGTCATACATTGTGTAGAAATATATATAGAAAAACCCAGAAAAACAGATAAGTACATGGCATCAGAGGGTGCCTGACATGATTATTGGTGTATACATATGTAGCGGTATGCCTAGTTGGACATACTTAGAGCTTCCCGTTCTCGATAGAAAGAGACATTCCATATCTGGGTCAATTAGATCCAAAGCAGGATCGGGAGCTGTAAATGAGACCGATCAAAGACTATTAATCATCACTAGAGTATGAAAATGCCCTCCAAACACACGGAATCCTAACAGAGCATGACAACTTGACAGTCTAGCTTGTAAATGATCGACCTAATTTTTTAAAACCCTACTCCAACCCAACATGAAAAATAAAATAAATGCCACATGTGCATTGTTTATGATTTTGTACTCAGCCAGTACTCGGCCACATGAGATGGAAGAAAAAAAGAAGGCAAATACAAACCCCCGGCCCAAACCCCCGGCCCAAACCCCACGCCCCTGGCAGCGCCGAGAAAGATATAATACAAGATTCTCTAGCCCCTACGCAGTAAATTTTGACACTGAGCCGGCATTTACTGCATATCCGGCTCGATATCACTAGCTCCTCCCTCGGCAGCCTCATCCATGGCATCGGGATTGAGATTGACAGCGTCGGGTGCAACACCAATTTGAGTCTCGTAGGAGATAGTGCGCCAGCCAGATGCAGCGGTGGGATCCTTGACATATTCGGACATGGGGAACTGTGAAAGTGTCAGTACGTGGTTCAAGGTTTTACTTTGGTGCATAAGTGCAAGGAAAAGGACTCACGTAGTGGTCATTCTTCTTCATGGTAACGACCCAGGGAACGTTGTCGAAGGTGACAGCGCGAATGCGGAAATACTCGTTGTCGGGAATTTTGCGGACTTCCCGAATAAAGCTGTCCAGATCTGGAGTCGAGACGCTGTTGACAGCAGTCAGGAAGTTGGTGGGCGCAAGACCGTAGTGGTAAGCGGGGGAACCACGGCTCTGAAGACTAGTGTTAGCAGTGCATTTAAATAGATGAACTGAGGGATCGAAACTTACTCTCGCGCTCACGTAGATCTCGCTGTGAACCTTGGAGATCTGCTGGCGAACAGCATGGTGGGGCTTTTGTAGAACAGCACCACAGAAGGCAAGGGCTCGGTCTGTCTCAATATCCCGGGTTGGCACGGTGGGGACGCGGATGCGCACTTCCTCGCCATTTCGGATGACCAACGCATCCAGGAATTCCTTTTCATACATGACATCCAACTCTGAAACGCGGGTGATGAGCTGGTCATCCAGCGTGAGAATAATGTCGGCTTCTTGGAAGCTGGTGCTAGCGTCGGGGATGACGCCTGCAGGAGGGCTGTCGACCTTGCGCACCATGAACAGCTGGTGCCGCGACGGGTTGGCCTCGGTGACCTTGTTGATCCACTCTTGCGAGACGCCCATGATGCGAGCCTGGCTCATCTGTACAACATAGCTTTCCATGTTCAGGATTCGCAACGTTGGGACCTCTCCTTGCTGGATCTTGGAAGTAACGGGAAGCAGGTATGGAGTGGCAAGACCGAGGTGATATTCGACATCCTTGTGAGAGCTTGCAGAGCGCTCACCGAGGTAGTTCAGCCACAAGGCCTGCACCACACCGTCTTCGCCGACGAGCACACCATTTGAACACTGTGCACTGAGTCCGGTATCCACGGTCACAGCGTCTAAGTTGATTGCACGGTAACGAGGGGCAGCTGCGTTGGCGGGGATTGACACAGTTGTGATATCAGTGACAGTGGTTTTGGCCACGACAATGCGGTAGTTTTGGTTGAAACCAACAAAGATGGTATCCTGGCCTTGTTTGATATAGTTCGTGCTGAGCTGGGCGCTCTTGACCGGAGCCTTGACGAGGCTGGGGTCGTATTGGATGATGCTGTAGTTCTGGAGCGGATGTAGGAAGACAACTTTAGCACTGACAATGATTGAGTCGGCCACAGTGATGTTGATGTCACAAAGGTCGTAGGGGACAATGGCTCGTGATACTACCACTAGACCCTTATCAGCATCGATGACCAGGCCAAACCCAGTCTTCTTTGCTTGCGGGTATCCATCGAGTTTCAACGGCATTATGCACGATACGCGCACGAAGCTACGGACAATCTCGGCAGCAGCAGGTTGGCTGATGCCATCTAACTGGATGAAATTGGCCTCTCTGGGGACAGGAGGCTCAGCAGGAATAGGATCGGCGAGATCGGAGAAATCCCAGAGACCAGACTTGTCGTTACGGATCGCCATCCGCATCTTGGGATGCCAGTGACGGTCAACGTAGATAATGCTAGTTCCTTTCGTGTGGAGATCACGAATATGACGGTAGGAGATCACCACGCGAGTGCGATCGGGAATGCTCTTCATGACCTCTACGAATTCATTGAGGTTATGGATGGGCCGCTTGTCAATTGAATCAATGATCCACCCTGCCACAGTATTCTCCAGTTTGAAGGAGCCTGCTGACTCACAGACATAGACTCCGCGAGTGGCAATGGCATAGAGACGTGACTGCTGGTACGACAAATCATGGAAGCTGGCGCCAGCAACTGTCACGAAACGATCGGGAGTGATATCATGGAGATTACCCACTTGACACTCAACCTCAACGTCCTGACCACCTCTCTGAACCAGCAACTTGACAGATGCACCGACACTCGAGTCTAGGATATCGTCGAGACGAACAAACTGCGTGAGGAGCTCTCCATTCACCTTGATAAGCACGTCTCCCTCCAACAACTTACCATCTGCCGGTCCCTCCGGAAGGATGATCTCGGCTGCAAGCATGTTGGTTTCAGTAGGTGCTGCGGCACGAATAGCAGCCTCCCACTCCGGAGTCAGACCAAGACGGCGACACTCATCGAAAGGCCTCAAGACCCACTGTGTTTGAATTGTACCACGAGTGACAAGCTGACCTTGGCGAATACACTCTAGTGCACGAAGCGGGCGGTCCAGCGGCAAAAAGTAATCTGTCGCAGCACCGTCAGCTCGACCACCAGCCTGCAAAGCAACTGCATGGCCAGCAAGATTGACCACAGGACTTCCCGAACTACCGCCACTGGCTGCAGCTGCGGCCTGGATGTAGTTTGTGTTGAAATCACAGTAGCCCTCTCCATATTCAGGCGCATTTCGGTCCAGTCGACTGATCACACCGGACAAAATGCTCAGCTTTTCTCCAGCATCATTACCGACGACACGGATTTCTGTGCCAACTCGCGCTCCATCTGGCTGGAGCTTAAGCTCAGTGACTGCCATATATCGGATTTTTGTGGGGTCGAACTTTAAGATACCGAAATCATGAACGGGGTCGCGGTATACAGGCTGGACATCGCACTGCGATTTGACAAGTTTGTTAGTAACTAGGCAAGGGCTTTGATCAAAACATGGCGCAGGATCGACTTACTTCCTCGTGATTGTCAAATATACAGTATCCCCAGAAAGGACCAGCACCAACAACGTGGCGATTGGTCAATATGTAGCCGCGCTCTGCATCCACCACGAAACCAGTTGCTTGACTGGACATGGAGAGCTCTGTATCGAACGAACAGGTCTGGCAGAAGTGAATGGAGACGGCGCATTTCACGACCCTCTCGATGGTAGCCTGCCATTCAGGTGAGTCCGCTGTGGCGGGGATGACAGCTGGCGAGGGAGCTTCATCTATATCCTCGATCTCATAGATGGTTCCATTGGCAGGCGTTGCGTCGTCGGGGGTCAAGATCGCAGGCTCAGGTCTGAGTTGCTTGTTGGGATGCTCGGAAGGATTGGCCGCCGTGCTGCGCTTTCGCTTCGAACCCATGTCGCCCTTGACATCCATAGTGAAGATATTTGAGGTCCGGGGGTGGTTTAGACGGGGTTTTGTGTGGTTGGCAAGAGACGAAATCGTCCGGGAGCCTCTTGAGGCTAACGGGGCAGCAAAGAATGAGGTATAAGACGATTGGAACACTTGAAGATGCGGACGATGCGGAGTTAAGGAATGTGACGCAGATGACCGATCAGTGGCTGGAGACAAAGGAGTGCAGGTTTGGTTTGAAGCTTGATAAGACGATAAAGGCGAGATGACGGGGATTCGCAAGCTCCTTCTGCATACAACCGACAAAGAACAATACATCCACTAAACAATTGGGGGAAAATGTGTACGCGCCTTGATCTCGAGGCAAAACGTCTACCCTCCATCACAAGTCCTAAAGGCGGCGAAGTATTAATGCCATATGATTGGCGGAGGGCTTTAATTGGCACGTGATGGCTTACGACCTGAGGCGCCACTTTCACATCTTAGAATTACTGCCGGCAAAAAGGTAGACCATTTACTAAGACGTATACAAGCCTATCACCTTGCGATAAGTTCTGACAGGTCAGAGTCGTTACCAGGATCAATATTAGATTATGTCAATTCTCGCATCTAGAATTAGAAGACGTTTCGCCTTAAAAACAGGAGATTGGCTAGGCTTCAAGAAGGCAGAGAGAACAGGCGGTAACCTCGATAAGAAAATGTCGTACATAGTTGCACGATTCGATCCCATGGCTGCCTCATGCGCCCATTAAAATAACGAATACCTCTTTGCCTGATTTGCATGTGGATAGGACACATAAGATGTTACATTCAATTAATGTACAAATTCAGGGATCAGCTTTATAGCCTGATTTATTTCTTAGCAAATGCTCCCTTCCAAAGTGGGGGAGTCTGGAGTATTTCCCAGTCAGATATCACAGAGACCATAGCTGCTTCAAAGTTCTCAACTGGGCAAATATTCGGTATTTTAGCCGACAGAGATGATGCGCATGGTGGAAGGTCCATGCCTCTGCCGGTATGCAATGGTGTTGAAGGGAATGGGCCGGCGCCTCCCACAACGCTTGCATTAATGACCTGAAACCATGGTCGCATGATTCGCGGTGGCGGACAACTCAATATAATCTGTGACATGTTTTCTCACGTAGAGGACTACATTTTTCCCCATGAGTTGCCTCAGATAATCGACTCATTCATAGCGCCAGGGCTAGGTCCACCATTTCCTTGCATGGAAGGAGGACTCGGTCTTTGCGGTGTAGATGCCTTTGCAGAACGCGAGAATAGCTCATTGAGTCTGGCATATAGCTCGTTTACAGCGGGAAGGTTGGGAGGTGGTGTCATGATCGCTGGCGTTTGGGGCACGACGCCGCCCGCTTTCTTCGCTCGATCGGCGATAGTCGCGAGGTAGGCCAGGTTGGCTTGTAGGCGTCGCATGCACTCAATGTATTCGGGGCTCGGTTTTTGATTGATTTTGGATGCATCCGGTTGCTCAGACGCCGGTGAGTTTGTATCCGGGTTGGAGGCGGGGCCAGCCTTGCCGGCCGCTTGAAGGTTCACCACCTCTTGCAACAAGGCTGAGTTGATGTCGAGGAGGGCCGTGACGCGGGCCTTTTCACGTGCCGCAAACTGAGCTTGAGCTTGGGCTTGGGCTTGCGCCTGAGCCTGGTTTGGAGCCGCAGGAGAGGCACCGGTTTGGGGCGAGTTCATTTGCGAAGGGGGTTTGGGCTGTGTACCGAGTAGGTTGTTCGCTGATATGGAAGCCATGTTTTGAGAGAAGGTCTGCGCTACTTGAGATGGCATGTTTGCGCCGGATGTGCCTTGAGGGGGGACAAACTGGCCCATGGGGGTAGGAATAGGAGCCTGGGTGTAGGGCGCTGAGAAATTATCCATAGGTGCTGCTATTATGATTAAGCATATGGTCAGTCCAAGGTATTCCAACAAAATAAAGCGACCTGGATCGTAGATGGCAGTAGACAGGAGACAAATGGTCAAAGCCAGACAGTGCCAAGATTCAATGTAGCGGCAGGGCTAATTTCACCCAAGCCGTAGGGTCTTAGGGTCTTAGGGGCGGGTGACACAAGCATGAGGGGGGCTTGAGTGGAAATAACCCAATACGATCTTGAGCCCTATGAGACCCCTTCCATTTCCCCAAGAATTTGAGCAACAATTCTACCCCGCTGGGGTAAAAGTGACAGCTACCCCGTGCCAATGATAACGAAAAAAAAGGGGAAGGGGGAGACGAACCGGAAGATTGTTGGGGGAATCCTGAAGGCATCATAGCTCCACCAGGACCAGGCTGCATGGGCATAGCACCAAAATGTTGAGCGGAGGGTGTCTTTGATTGGGGGTATGGGGGAGCGGCGTTAGGGTAAAAAGGCATCTGTTGGTTTTGGGGGCTCTGTGTCGGGACGGGATAGCCTGCGGGATAACCAGTATTGGGGTCCATTGTGTAATGAGGGACCATCACGGTTGAGGGTGGCTCCAAGGATTCCTTTTCGCCCTGTAATACTCCTTCTCCTCAGCGATCCCCTCGATTTAGGGAAGCTACTGTGGCTGAATTACGCAGGCCGCACGGACGAGACGGTGAGGGCCCAACGGCGCTTGTTGACCGGGAATCCAGGGATGGATGGGGTGAGATTTGGCGTGACCCCGAAGTTGCTAGAAAACCAACAAAAAGACAGTGGTGATTGGCTCAGTCAAAAGGCAGGGATGTATTGTATTGGGAACCCGGCCTTCACCAGCGAACTGGGACTCGGAGCAAGACAGATTTTGGTGCCCAGATTCAGAGTGATCAGCCGTGGGCGGGCTAATGCAGCGGAGCCCTTTTGGAATGGTGGAGACACAGACTCAAATGATGTTGGAATGATAATGGCAAGATCTCAAGTTGATTTGAAACTTGACTTCGTGATAGATTTAAGTGTGTACTTGATGTTTCCTGGAGAGAGTAACTGGCGTCCACAATGAAAGTGACATTCGAGAGTCACGGGGTTCGATATGTACTGCCTCAGGCAATAGTTATTGATGCCTGAAATATATGGTGGAAAACCATTGTTAGTTAACTAATCTCGACATCCAACTTCCTTTTTCACAGTATACAAAAATAGTCGACTTATGATGCCTCTGTCTTTGACGACATAGGAATTGAACAGTCTCGGTATATATTATATTAGTTTGAGATGATACTAGAGACGCTATATAAAAGATATTGCTACCATATCCTTTTGCTCGTTTTGCTTTCTAGCCAGGTGTGTGAAAATTTGGTCTAGACAAACCGGGGAATACTCGTGAGAAATAGTACCAAAAAGCTAAACGATATAAATCTAATTTTTTTTAGTGTAACCTGTCAAAACGGACCCATAGGCTCTCGTCTATGCCAGTCTCCATAACAGACTGCTTCCCTCTGGCATTTCTTTTGCTCATAACGACTTTTAGTTTCTCGTTATCCCCTTGAAATCATCCTCTTACCGCCATCTTGTTTGTCATGTGATATTGAGGTATGGTTCCTATTCCTACTGTTGGACTTTCCATCATTCTAGACCGACGGCTCACATCTACGGGGCGGTGCTGAGAAACACGCTGTCGACGGACTTAGTTAGCCGAGTTCCGCGGTAAGGATGTCGAAGTAAAAATTTATTTCCTAAAAGAGGTTAGTACTTTGTACATCTAGGTATGTATGTATGTATCTGCCAGCTGCTTGGCACGTATACTGTGGCGATCAGTATTCACGGTCCCCTTGAATCATGGGGCATTGGGCACATTCTTCATACATGACAAAGGGGGTCGGAGGGCTAGACGTGTTGTAGGGATTGACAAACCATCTCAGACTTGACGTGTCAGGAACTTCCATTTTGAAGATCACGGCTGCATATGGAGTACATATAATTCTACGAATGATTACAAACGATCCAACACTGACGTGTCAGGAGTCACTAAGCGACACATCAAGTAATATATTTCTAGACGATCTCATGGATTTTGCTTCTACAACATAGTGAATGGCTCTACCACCAAGGCATGTGATATGGTGCAGGGTGTAGGAGCAGGGGGTAAACAGAACCATGGTTAAAAAGATGTGAACGAAACCAAAGTTTGAGAATTTTGTGCTAAGATCAATTGGATAAAAGTATACACCACGGGCTGTGCATGCATAGTCTGCACGTATATGCAGCACGCTAGAAAAGGGATTGTGGGCCGCGGTGAAGCGTCATCTGGACGCCACAAGGTAGATTAGGGATCCCGATTTCCAGGAAATGCAAGCCGGATATGCGCAATTTATGCGAATAGGATAATGGGGTTGGGTAATGGCGTGAATTGACAGCCCCCTTAGCTTGCCAAGATCTCATTAAGAGTATCTAGTCCAATAGATTTTACCAAAGGATAAGTCCAAACTCTAAACTCAATCTCATTCCCGTCGATTTACCGTGGGACATCATATAGATGACCATGTGGCTGAAGCATGACTTTAACCTCGGACTTGTCAGCTGGATGTTCTCCGGCATTGTCTTTCGTCAGTGGCTTTTGAAAGAAGTATACTTTTTGAACCTTCCAGGACTCTACCTAGGTATCAACATGAGATAGAATAGACTCTTCCCCACAAGGAAACATCCGAGAATTGAGCTTATCGTGCATTCTAGAGAAATATTAAATATATTAGACCTAAATCAAGTCCATATTAGGTATCTTTTAAGGTCCATATACATATAGTTCATACTAGTTCATTTCAGATCTTACAACATTGTATAGAGCAATACAGGGTGGCAAATTGAACCGTGGCTCATTACATATTGGATCGCATTCTTTAATCTCCCAATCCCATCCCCCCTTTTTAGCGTGTCGATCCAAATTGTCCCGGCCGTGAAGTTGAGGCTTTTCAGGCGAGACCGAGGTAATCCCGCTCGGCCGGTAAAACTCGGGATGTGCCCGCAGGTGGTTTCGGTGTTTGCTTAATAAACTTCGTATTTCACCAGCCACTTATGATAACATAGTGCATGGTTAAAATAAAGCTTCATATGCACAAACCCTGGAGATATCGGGCATCTCCTATGCAGTGTATCTTACAGTAAACGGTGTGACCCAGCACTTTGGTATTCTCAATCAGCTTAACCCGTGATAAGTAAGGAGATGTACACAAAGGTACATCTTCGGGAATATTGGGCGCAAGGCAACCAAATGGGTAGAGTCCGCCTCAAAAACGTCCCGCCGATCATTATCTCATTTTGCATGACATTTTTTTTCTATTCATCTCGCATGCTGGTCTAGAATATGGGTGTGTCATGTACACCGAGAGTAGTGGATTATTTATCCATTCTTCTTGTTATTGGTTCACCGAATATCCGAATATCAATTGATATTCATAATCCACGTCTCACAAGGGTCTTGGGGCTGATTTTATTCTCATGCAGCAACACGGTTTCCTATGTTTCTTGTTGTGCGGCTAGGGTATGATATTACAAGACATCTACGGAGTACTCCGTAGCATGCTCTATTTGAATGGGGTGTTTGGAGTGGAAATGACTTAACGACCTCCAAATGAAATAGTCATTGATATACAATTGAATACAAAACCGAGCTTGCAATGTCAAGTTCAAATAGATCTTATTCGGGGAATTCACCTGCGGCTATACACTGAGGTTGTGATAGGCCAATAATAGGGAAAAGAAGTCCGCATTCAGATCAGGCCCTAAAATACTCCGCTTGTCTGTTTCGATACTGTATCAGTTTTGGCGCTTTGTAGATCCATCTTTTCCTATTCTCCACAGGGGTTTGTCTGAAGTTGGGTCTCTCCACTTTTGGCGCGCTATAGTTAGCTACTATACATACGGAGGGAGCGTGCCGGAGCCGAAAAGGTCCAGCTGTTTATAAATTTATGTGTGTAAGCACATCGTTTCCTTCGGTACTCACTGATCGGCAGTCGCGAGCTGGCGAGCATTGATATTGTGTGTGACCAAAAGTCGCAGCATGGTCTTTTGCTTCTCTCCCAAATTATCTATAGAAACCCCACTTCTTCTTCTTCCCCCTTGTGAGAGGTAAACTTGACAAGCTTGCCCATACAAAATCTGGGGTCAGCCTTTGGGTTCATGCTATAGGGTATTTACATCTTCATGTGATCGACCTCGACAGAGCTGACCCTAGCCAGGATCCCGGAAAAGATGTCGAGGCAATCACCAGAGGAACATGAATATACCCACTTTGCTATGATCTACATAGATAGGGATGGGAATCTTTGCCAAAGGGCCTCCGAGTCCATTTCAGAGAGTCGTCAGACCATCCTCTCTCCTCGGGTCACCGGTGAATTCCTCAGAGCAGTGGCGATGTCCAGAGAAACCCACACACATTCTCAAGGTAAGGTTTCTATTTACCCCACATAAAGTGTTTTAAACTGACCTGGAAAGTTTCCCCCGAGGTCCAAGTGCCTTCTAGCGGGGCTCAGTCGCCGGAGTCCGTGGCATATAGTGGAATGAGTTTGGGTAGTCAACAGAGAATGCCAGTTCTAGGTCAATCAGAGTCCCCATTCCGGCCGACAATGTGGCCGTCAAGCGAATCCTGGCCCCTACAACCCAGCGCACAACCTAAGAAGAAGAATTTTGGAGGTCGGAGTCTCAACTTGGCCTCACAACAAAAAACCACAATCTCTGTAAAAGAGAGGGGTCTTTTGCGTCTCTACTATGAGAAAATATTTCAAAACTTGCAACAAACGAACTGCCGAATTATCGCCAAAGCTTACATCAAATTAGTCGAACCGCGCAAACAAGTGAATTACCCATACAATGGACGGAAGATCGTGGAAGGAAGGACTCAACAGCTCGATCCAGAGGCAACTAAGCCACCGTGGTGGCCACGTGGAGTGAGCCATAGAGAGCCGGATCATCTTCCAAAAGTTGGTAAGAAAAAGAACTATTCCTAATAATTCTACCAGGCTGACAATAATCAGAACGCATTCGACTGTTGGTATACATTCTCTGCGAGATGCGCAAAACCTACGGAATCACAGCCGCCAGATTAAAACAATGCGATCAGCCCATTCGTCGTCAAATTCTCCCGGTCGAGCGTTTACACATCTTGGACGAAGCATATCGAGTTCGCGAGGAGGAAGAAAGATTTCTAGATGGGCTTTCAGGTACATCCTTGCCCCCTATTATCTTTTAAACTCCCAAAGGCTCACATGTATCAGACGGGAACCACGTGTGTATAGCTCGCACCAATCTTCCTCAAATAGCAGAAGACACATCCAGCGGACAAAGCTCGCCAACCGAACCAACCCCTTCCCATAATACCGTCGAGTCCGAGTGCAGCGACGGAATATCCGGAATCGATATAACCCAAGTCACCTCCGGAGACCTGCCGAGCGCGCCATCATACAATCCTTCCCATCCCTATAACCCAGCAATGCACTTGGGCCCGAACATGCAATACCAGTCCATCGGCCCCGCTACAACCATGTCAACACCACCATTGGAATTGCGACCAAAGCATGAACCAC